GAAATAAATATTTAACATCAATTATGATTAGTGATGTGAATAATAACATCATTTCTAACAAGTGACACATATTAAAATCACTTCAAGTAATTAATGCAAATATTTGCTATTTTTACATCAGTTATGAACAAAATGATACAAATTATTTGCATCACCAAAAACTAAGTCATTTATGGAAGTGATGTAAAATGCTTTTACATCATTTATAAATAATACAAATATATAAATTAAATGATTTAAACTAATCATTTTTTTGTAGTGAATTAATTAGGCGATTGGTTTAGTTTTGGGATGATAAATAAAAATAATTCTCAAACCGTTATTACAAAACAGCCGAGCGAAAGCGGGTTTTAGCGCTGTCTCCAAGGCGTGTTGTCTTATCCTCAGAGGGAGATCTTCTTCAGCCATGGCGGCGATTATCCGGTGCTGCTCCTCCTTTTCCGATACCTCCCGCGGCGACAAATCTCGAGTTCCAGGTTAGCTCATTTTGTCTAGATCAGATTCCTAGTTCACTGTCTCTGTTTGCTTAGTGTGAGTGATCCTTCCTCGTTCGCTAATTAGGCATCAGAATCTCAAAGTTTAGACATGCTTTTAGCGTTTGGTGAGTTGTTTTGTGTGTAGTAAGCATGTTACTACTCATTCATTCATTCGAGATCGTTCTTGTTCTCATTTGTATTCTTATGGTGGAACTTTGATATCGTTCTTGTGTTAAAAAACAAAACGATATTTCTATAATATAGTTCAATCTCGCGTCTTTGATCTCTCTTACAGAGACTGGGAAGTTAGCTAAATCATTTGGTTGCTCCTTAGTCACAACACCTGGGGCTTATCATCCTATCTCCATGATCAAACCTTTGTCTACCAACAACCCCAAGGAGCGTGAAAGCAAGGGAATCTTACAGACAACACGTGGCAGCGTGGAAACTTTTGACAAGTTGTCAGCTTTTCAGGTATGTTGCTTGACTCAGTTTTTTTCTTCATGTTTTTAAGTTTTGCATTGTGATAGTAAGCCTATAGACAGACGTGGCAGGGAATTGGGAGGCTCAAATTACCGGTGATGCCAGTGTTGTTGACAAACTCGATTTTGATGTGTACACCACTTGAAGCTTTAGCTGCTGAAGTTTGTGAGCCAGAGAACTCCATGTTCAGCATGCCAATTTTGTCGCTTGTAGCTCTTGTTGGAGCCACTGTTGGAGGTAGTAATCTGCTCTTTCTTCAGTATATATGCTTCTACGAACTGTATACAAATGGGGTTTTGAGAAGACTTTTTTGTGGTGTACTAACCAGGGTTGCTTGCTCGGCAGAGGAGAGGGGAGTTACAGAGGCTAAATGAACAGCTACGGCAGATCAACGCAGCTCTTAGGAGACAAGCGAAAATCGAGTCCTATGCACCAGGTTTAAGTTATGCACCAGTAGGAGCAAGAGTCCCAGAGAGTGAGGTCATCATGGAACCAAAGAAACATGAGTTGATCTCCAAGTTGAAAACAGGAAAGACCTTTCTGAGGAGTCAAGAGCCAGAGAAAGCTTTTGAAGAGTTCAAGACAGCTTTGGAACTTGCCCAGAATCTCAGAGACCCCATCGAAGAAAAGAAGGCTGCTAGAGGCTTAGGCGCTTCGCTGCAACGTCAAGGGAAGTACAGAGAAGCCATACAGTATCACAACATGGTTTTAGCTATCTCAAAGAGGGAAGGAGAAGATTCTGGAAGCACTGAAGCGTATGGAGCTATCGCAGATTGTTACACTGAACTGGGAGATCTCGAGAAAGCTGGTAAGTATTATGACAGTTACATTGCTCGGTTAGAGACAGATTGATTCATCCGCATTGTCTTTGTGTATGTTTGTTGTGTTCATGTCAAAACACATAAAATGGATATTTGAATCCCTTTTATTGAATGTAAGTTTGTTTCTTACAATCCATAGCTAAGAATACAACTGAAGATATCACTTTATATAGATATGTTAAGTGAGAGAAGACAGACAAACAGACACACAAAGAAGTTCTAGAGCACACAAAAAAAAGAGCAAGAGATCGAAATTTGAGAACAAAGTCACATGGGCGCTACAATATGTGGTTTATTACTGGTAGTACATGAGCTGCTGTGCTGCAGCTACATTCTGAAAGCCACCGTCATACATGGCTGCACTGGCTCCAGCTGCATTGATTCCATGAGCTGCCTGCCTTAGCGGGTGTTGACCTTGTGGATGCATCAAAGCCATCTTGCTTAGTGCCAATTGTCTCTCATAGACTAAGAGATCAGCTGCAGATAGACCAGACACTGGTGCTGGGGCAGGTGGAGGAAGTGGGTTTGAGGCTGTTCCTGGTGGAGTTGGTTTGCTACCCCATGAGCACTACAATCAAAGTGATAATAGAATCAAATGTCAGACTACATTCTAAGTGTCGTCTCTAAATATGTCAGATAATGCTACTTTGGGAGCAGTGATACTGATATCATATAAAGGGAGGGTTCCCTTTGTTTAATGGTAAAAGTACCTTAATCTGTCTGTTAAAGAGGTAAGGCTGCGAGTTACCCATCTGAATAGCAAGAGCAGCCTCCGGATGTGTGTTATATCTCACAAAACCAAAGCCTTTGTCTCGTTGGACGCGGACCTCTTCAATAACACCAGCACCAAGAGCATGGAAGTAGCGGTGCAGATCAAGCTGAGTTACCTGCAAGATAAGATAGTTGTAAATGATGTATTAGGCAGTAATATAATCAGAGCCTACAAAAGTTCCCAAGAGAACATTGACTTACCTCAGGGGCGAGGTTTCCTACATACACAGTGGTAAACTGAGAGTTGTTCTCAGGAGCATCCTCAGTTAAAGTCTCTTTTCCATCCTCTGAACAATCAAACGACCAACGTAGCTTTGTTAGCTGTGGGTGTTTCATATTTACCCAGTAAAACATACAGAGCTGACATGTGTTTCAAGAGAAAATCAATGTCACCAATTCTACTTAAACGAGAATTACGAAGTAGTAGAAATACAACCTGAAGAGCCAGTTGTGAATTCGACAACACTTTTTCCATCAGAGCTAAGCTTGTCCTCACCAGAAGTAGCGCCTTTTGTGGCCCAGTTGCATCTGATCTGTCTGCTACTCAACCACTTACCTGAGAAAAGATGATAGAAGCAATAATTAAGTACCAAAGGATAAAGAGAGAACCACAGTTTTTGAAGCTGAGCTCGACTGGAACAGTTAAGTCGCATAAAACACACAGAATCCTTCACGAGGTTTTCTTTTGAAGTACAGTATCATCCAAATCTTAAGAGTTTCAAAGTTAAACAAAGCAGAATTTACAACAAAATGAAGTCGTAAGATACGATACTTACCATTCATCTCATTTATGGCAGTTTGAGCATCCTGCAAATTAAATTAAACATTTAAATCAATGTAAAAAAACCCATGAACAATCTTCGAGCTACAAAAAAAGATAAGAGAATAAACAGTACACCTGTTGATTGCGGAAGGAAACAAACCCAAAGCCTCTTGAGCGCCCAGTTTTTTGGTCCCACATAACTCTTGCATCACTTCAAGTGAGTGAAATATTACACGCAGTTAAAAAAAGTTCATGAGTTGGATGAAATGTTTTAAAAGATAAGCTTAATCAATAGGGAAGGAGCTTCGTTATTCAGAGAGTTCTGTTCACAGCAGAATCTTTAAGCTAGAATAACAGTTTTTAAAGACATAGTAGAATTCGCTAACAAAGAGTTTGATCAAAAATGCGGACTTACGAACAAGTGGGAAAAACAGAAAAGCTTTGATATAATGCAGCGTCAGTGACATCTGGACTGAGATCTCCAACGAAAATGTTGTAGTGACCTGCATCCCATGAAGACAAAACATTGAACATCTACACTTTCCTAGAACCAAACAAACACAAAATGTAACTCTTCAAAGGTAAATCAAAACTTACTAGATGTGTCTTCCCTCTGACCAGTGGCATAAGCCCAATTGACTTTGATAGGCTGTCCGAACCTGTGAACGCAAGTATTAAACCTTAAGTGAAAGCGTTCCAAGAATAAAGAGGCGAACAGAACAACAAAGATTATTCCTTACAAGTGTCTTCCATTGAGAGACAGTATAGCAAGCGCAGCAGATCTTCGGTCAAAGTAGTGGACAAATCCATATGATGACTGTGAAATAAAAAAGACGCATACTAGTTTAGTTATGCTCGTCCAAAACAAGATAATCCTCACAATCTTAAGACCATAAAGAAAAAAAAAAAAGCAGGTGGATTTCGAATCTCTCTACCTTATCTTTTCTGATGAGTTTACTGCTTTCAACAGGGCCGGTGCTAGTAAATATCTCCTGAAGAAGAGGCTCTGTGACCTGTATATGGATGTTCCCAACATACCTGTAAATATTAAAACAAATACAAGACTTAGTTAAAAACATATACTGAGAACACTGCTCCTTCAAACAAAGTGAAAACTCAAAAACAAACCACTCACACGCTACGGCAAGTACTGGGATCAAAACCAGGGGGTAGGTTTCCACTTGGAAGAGGCTCTAACTGCAAACGCCAAAGATGAAAAAAAAAAACAAAAAGAGAAAAGATCATTCCTTTTTCAACCCACAAAGTAAAAACTCAGCTCACAAAACTATAATACTTAGTTAAGACTCAAAGGCGTCAAAGACGAGATAAAGGAAACAACTTTCTAGCCTAGAATGATCTAAGAACCCTAACCTCTCGTTCAATCAAGTGTTTCAGCACAAACTAAACCTGACCCACAAGAGATGCGATAGAAAGACTGAAAAGAAAACTCCAATTTTGACCAAAATTAGACACATCGATAAGGTAGACAAACCTGAGGAGGAGCCATAACACCAGGATGGTAAAGAGAGTGTTGCTGCATCAAAGCTTGCTGCTGCATCAGAGCAGCTTGTTGTTGCCTCATCCTAGGATTCTGCATTTTTTTTCCTTTCCACTGCTGAAAAAGGAAATATGTTTGTTTCCGACAGGGAATTTGATTATTTTTTTCCTCAGCTAGGGTTCATATTCAGGTAATGAAGAAAGAAAACGAGAAAAACAAAAAGAAAAGAAAAAGGTAAAAAGAAAAAAAGAAAAAAGAGAAAGAAAAAAAATCAGAGAGGAAAGAGAAAGAAGTTGTCCGTAGAAGATGAGAGTGACCGTGCGGCACAAGTGAACTATTTATAGGAACATTTATTTTATTTCAGAAAAGAAGCGGGTTACGCTAACTTCACAGCCTTGTGACGTTTACTTTTTATGACAGCCAATGATATTCCTTATCCGGGTGACAGCCCAGGCTTAGTGTCTCAGGCCCAAGCCCATGAATAAACGGCGTCCTGGACCATTTTTCTGACGACCTGTAATGCGGGACCCAGGCGTGTAATAATGGGTTAGTTCGGTTTTGTGGCTGGTTTTTATAGTCCAAGTTCATGGACTCAGTTAATATAATAATGAAAATATCTATATATTTATGATTTTGTAGATATTTATGTGAGATCTACCAAAAAAATTCAATTGGAATTTTCAGTTTGTTTTTATGCTGGTATATGATTATTATTGTAACTTGACCATTTTAAAACATTTAATTATTATTTTCTTTCTGTTAATCGACTCGATTAAAATCATGTATGGACCACCAACCACATCACATTATGAGGTTTGACAATGAGCATGTAGTTTAGCTGGTTTTCGACTATTCAAAAACATATTAAAAGAAGAAAAAACATTTCCACTATAATAATTTGCAAAAATTTCCTCACCAAATTAGTACCTTTCTTTTTAAGTCATCTGTTGGATTAATGTGGTAAAATACCAGAGTTTAAACAAAGCATTACATGATCAACCTTTAAAGACCAGAAGTTCTAAACAAACACCATACCGCCATACACTAATCCGTTAGTTTCTAAAGCCATAAACCTATCACCAAATTAGTACCTTTCTTATCCACAGGTAATTTGATTCAAAAAATGTCAAAAGATAGTATTGATGGCCTTGCCAACACTGTCCAACCACGTCATAGTACTTTGGAAGAAAACAAAAACAAGCTCTAAATAATTAAAATTTTGATTCCTGAATTTATTAGCACGGAAACAAATACACTAATTTGTTTTCATATATATACCGAACGGCTACATTGATTTGTTTTTTGAAAATTAATTACTTCACTAAGTAGTGGTGATTATTGAATGATTAAGATAATGAAATTCAAAAAGAAAGTTTCCAAAACCTACTGGATTCAAAATGATCCCCCAAATATTAAATCAAAAGATCATAAAAAGACATGATTGGATATTTACATGTGTCTCTTTTTAAAGAAAGTGGGGGCTTTCTTAAGTTTAGACATAATAGCATTTATTACAAGATTTTCACCAGTTAAGAAACTTGTCGGAAAGTTTTAAAATATTTTCCGGGAAATTACACACCGCCGGCGAGTAATTCGGAAAGTTACACGAAGAGAAGTTGAAAAGTCCCAAATACTCTATTTTCCACACAAAAAAAAAAAAACAAAAACAATACAAAAACAGACAGCTTGTTGCCTTAACTAGAAGACTTCTTCAAATTACAAAAAAAAAAAAAAAAACTGGAGTTTGGTTTCTCACAAGAATCTACCAATCTCCTTAACTGAATCCGAAGAGGTAAATGATTCTGATTAGTTCTGTTTCTAACTTTTTGCTGTTTTTCCTTTTCTGTTGGTTTGATTTTTTTAAGTCTCTGATTAGTTTTTTTTATAGATGGAACCACCGGAGAATACTGTTTGTTTAGATTCCAACGACTCATTAGAGACGGCGGAGAGGGTAATACTAAGATGGGACTCAACTTCCTCCGAGGAAGCTAGAGGAAAGATGATCTTCCAAAGCGATCGTGACGAGGTAGATCGGTTCTTAAGAGCCGTAGATGAAATCCAATGGTCAATATCTTCTCTCTCCTTCTCCTCCTCCTCCTCTCTTCCTCCTTCCTCCACCGTCGATGACCAAGAAGTCAAAGCTAAGTCATCTCTCCAAATCGCCATGGCTAGACTCGAAGAAGAGTTCCACAACATCCTCCTCTCTCAAACCTCCCCTTTCGAGCCTGACTCTCTCTTCCTCGAGGAATCATCTTCACTCTCCACACGCGCCGAAGAAGAATCAGATGTTGCAGATGAAGAAGAAAAAGAAGAAGAATCAGATGGTTCTGGTTCAAACAAGTTAACTCGTAGGAGAAGCAGTTACAGATCCACAAGCAGCATACGCGAGATGGATCTGATCTCACCAGAAGCAGTCTCTGACTTGAGATCAATCGTTCAGAGAATGGTCACCGCGGGATACACCCGCGAATGCATCCATGTGTACAGAAACGTCCGAAAATCCGCTGTGGAAAGCATTTTAAAGCAGCTAGGGATCGTCAAGATCAGCATCGGAGACGTGCAGAGGCTAGAATGGGACGTGGTGGAAGGGAAAATCAAGAAATGGATCCGTGCTGCGAAGGTCTGCATCAGAATCGTCTTCTCGAGTGAGAAGAGACTCTGTTCACAGCTCTTCGATACAACGGCCATGGATGAGACTTGTTTTATGGAGACGGTGAAGCCGTCTGCACTGAGGCTATTCACTTTCCCTGAGGCCATAAGTATCAGCAGGAGATCGCCCGAGAAGCTTTTCAAGATTCTTGATCTACACGATGCTATGGATGATATGTTACCTGACATAGAAGCCATCTTTGACTCGGATTCATCGCGCGATGTCTACGTGCAAGCTGGTGAGATTCAGACGAGGCTAGCGGAGGCGGCGAGGGGGATACTGTCTGAGTTTGAAAACGCGGTTCTTCGTGAGCCTTCTGTGGTGCCAGTCCCTGGAGGAACGATTCATCCTTTGACTAGGTATGTAATGAACTACGTCAGCTTGATCTCTGATTATAAACAGACACTCAACGATCTTATAGTGTCTGAGCCTTCAACCGGTTCTGATAACGCACCGGTTATTGACTTCACGGAGCTTGACGGTAAGTCTCCATTAGCTTTGCATTTGATATGGTTGATCATGGTTTTGCATTTCAACTTGGAAGAGAAGTCACACCACTACAGAGACACATCCTTAGCTCACATATTCATCATGAACAACATTCATTACATAGTTCAGAAAGTGAAAGGATCACCTGAGCTACGAGAGATGATCGGAGACCATTACTTAAGGAAACTCACTGGGATATTCCGCCACGCGGCGACAAACTACCAGAGATCGACTTGGGTCAGAGTGCTGAATAGTTTGAGAGACGAAGGGTTACATGTGAGTGGGAGTTTCTCATCTGGTGTATCGAGAAGTGCGTTGAGAGAGAGGTTTAAAGCGTTTAATGCAATGTTTGAAGATGTTCATAGGACTCAGTCTACATGGTCGGTTCCTGATGCTCAGCTTAGAGAGGAGCTGAGGATTTCTTTGTCTGAGCATTTGATTCCGGCTTATAGATCGTTTCTTGGGAGGTTTAGGGGTCATATAGAGAGTGGGAGACACCCTGAGAATTATTTGAAGTATTCTGTTGAAGATATTGAGAGAATCGTTCTTGATTTCTTTGAAGGATATGCACATCCTCCAAACTTGAGGAGACGATGATGGAAGAAGATTTGGAGAGGTTTACTTTCTCTCTTTTGTTTTGTTTTTTGTTTTGGTTCTCAGACACGTTAGGATGTTGTAGGATAGAGCCATTCTTTGAATTTTTATTCCTATTGTGCCAGAAGGAATAAGGTCCAGGTAAAACATACATTTGTGTTGTTGTTTTGTGTCATATGTATACTCTCTTCTAATGTTCAACGTCTTCTGATCATTGGATCAATTTATGTCATTGTTTGTGTACTTTTGGGTCTTTGTTTGGTAAGTGTGTTAGCCAATGATCAGAGTTTTTGTTCAGAACTTCACTAAAAGTCTTATTTTCAAACTAACTGCAAGATTAGTAACAAACTTGTGATTTTTTTTCTTCTTATAAAAATGTAAAATAGATCCGAAGACGAGTAGATTATTTTTGTCACTTTCAAAATGAAAAACGAGAACTACATCCACACACCAGAGAAGGCTCTTCATAAAACTTGTGAGCCAAAGCAGAGCATCAAAGCCAAGAATCAATGGGGACATAATCTGTCTTAATCGAAGTCAAGAAACTCCATTCTCTTCCTCATTGTTCCTCTCAGCTCACTTGCTTCCCTCTCCACTTTTTGCGCCTACACCAAGACACACACAGACCCCAAAACCAAATCATCAGCAAACATACGACATAATAAGTTAACCAGGTCTTATATCTGATGTGAAGACTTACCCTTTTAATTTCCGTCTCTGAGACACGAATCATATTTGGAGGAAGCTCCTCTCTCTCTGTGTCCTAACACATGGTTTTACAGTCAAGCTAGTGAACTGGAGATAAGGCAAAGTGAGACAACAAAAAACAAACAAGGAGAGAAGTCTTACAAGGTCACCAATCAGAACAACATTCTCTCCACGGATTACATAGAGGCCTAAAGGAATATCGCAGTATTGCTCCCCAACAATAACCCTCTCGCAAGCACCTTCTAGAACCGCATTGGCTGTGAATGACAGCAAATAAATATGCTATAAGCCTCTTTCACTAACTACTAAGACTATCATAAATGCAGAGGAATGAAAAATAAAAGTATATACCGAATTGATCAAATGAACGGAGAGTTCCCATTAGCTTTCTACCATCTCTAAGGAGCACAAGTATCTTTCCTGCACCATCAAAAGCAGAGGCCAACATCAATAAGTAACTGATACTGATGCACAATCATTTATATTCAAAAGCATACAACTCCAAAACGAGATTGAGAATAAACCCATATCCCCCAAAAATCTACAAAACGAAGATTAAACTCGAATATAAATGCTTAAGCTTAAGAGTGAATCAAATTCAAAACAGGTTAGACTATATACTTCTAAAGTTGAATCATTAATGAGCTCAGCAACCTCACCATACTTCTCTATCCTTTAGTTAAAGGATAGCAATAATCATCAAGGAACAGTCCAAATTCACCTAATTGATAAACGAAAGCTTTCAAAATCCAACCTTTGAGATAACACAACGCTGAAATTGACAAACTTTGAATAAGACAGTAGAAATTAACTAAACTATTTAGCACTAAGAACTCAAAACCAAACACAAGAAACTCTGCCATGTCCATGAGTACACACACAAAACATACAGTTCAAAGAATTTGTGAAGCAGAGAGAGAAAGAAATTACTATCGAGATAACTAGCGAGTGATGTCGAAAGGTAAATATCTTCAGGACCAGCCCAAGACATCGTCACTGACTCTACTCGCTCGAAATTGAAGAAAAAGTTTCCGTCTTTCAATAAAACAAAACCGATTCAATGTTCTCAGAAGATAGAATCGCTTAATCGAACAGAGAACGAGGAAAAGAAAAATCAAGATTAGGGTTTTTTTGAGTGAGCGATAGAAAGATCGAAACACGGAGAAGGGTTTGTCAAAAAAATATAAAACCCAGATCCAATCCGATCCGATCCGATCCGATCGCACTTGGATGAGAAGGATAGTTGGAGAAGATCAAATCGACCACTCTCGTTCATAAATATTTATTGTTTATCCTACTATAGAGCTAAGGTAAATATTAAACATTACTAAAACATTAAACTAGGGTTGGGCAATCGGGGTCCCAATCGAGTTTCGGTTCGGGTTCATTCGGGTTTCGGGTTTTCGGGTTCATGAATTTCAGCCCCATTCGGATATTATAAAAATTCGGGTCGGATTCGGTTCGGGTTTAGTCGGATTCGGTTCGGATTTAGTAACATGTCCAAGATCCGGTTGAACCCGAAATAGTTTCGGTTTCGGATACTAATCGGGTTATCGGTTCTAAAAATACTAATTTATACTCAATTAAACTCACTATATGTTCAATCATTTTATTAAATTTATGTATTTAGCTTCTACAAACCATATTGTTCTCCTTGAAAATAATATTGTGAAACTCATCTATCAACCATATAAGATTTGTCAATGAACTATATGTGACAACACTAAACATATCATGATTAATGACAAACCAAAGCCTTGTATTAACGAAATATAATACATAATGAAACATAAAAAATTAAAGTTAACAACTAACAATTATATAAATATAAGAAGTGCTATTTAAACTTTTAAAACAACATTATATAAACTTCAAAACAAATTTATTCGTAACTTAACTTCAAATCTAATGTCAATCATAAACATTAATATTAACCAAATAACACTATATATTAGACTAAATATTTGAGTTAGTTATTTATATCATAACTAATTATTGTAGGTACTCAATAATATATTAATCTGTTTTGGAAACATATTAGAAATTTAGACTGGATATGATACAAGTTTTACTGGAATTTTAAAGTTTCGGGTTCTTTCGGATATCCATTTAAGTTCGGGTTCGGTTCGGGTAATACCCATAACCCGAAATACCGTAAAACAAGATCCATTCGGTACTTATGTCGGGTTCAGATCGGTTCGGGTTCCTTTTTATCGGGTCGGAGTCAGTTCGGATTTTCGGGTTCGGTTTTTTTTGCCCAGCCCTACATTAAACTATGATTATTTTATATTTTAAATTAATAATATGTTTATATGAGTATCATCAATTACATTAATTTGTAACAAAATAAAAATGAGTTTCATGTTAAATGTATAAAATTTTAATTTTGACTAATATATTTATTTTTTGACTCAGTTACATTATTTTTTTATTAACTAAATGAGATTACATGATTTTGATCTCACAGAGATTATTATCTACAATAAAATGATCTATTATCACCTACAAACACATAAATGAATTTTATGCTATCCGAATCGACATTTCATGGTATACTAGACCTTGACCCGTGCGACCGCACGAGTATTAATTTTATTTTTTTAATTTTTATATTAGATGAAATTTTAGTAAAAATTAATTATAGGGAAATTGCCAGAAATAACACATTCAAGATACCATTTTTCAACGTTACACTAACCAACTTTACCATTAAAATTTTAATACTCAAAATACTATTAGAATTTAGGGTTTTGGGTTTAGGATTGATAGTTTAGGGTTTAGTGTTGATTTTTAGGGTTTAGGGTTTAGAGTTTAGGGTTTAAGGTTTAGAATTGATATTTTAAGGTTTAGGGTTGATTTTTAAGGTTTCCTTTTAAGGGTCTAAAGTTTAGAATTGTTGTTTTAGGGTTTAGGGTTAATATTTTATTTAATATTTATTTTATGTATATATATAAAGAACAAGGATATAAGAGTCTTTTATCCTTTAATAAAATTTGTATTTTTGAAAATGTTCTTTTGTTGATGGTAAACATGAAAAGTGGTACCACCAAAGTGGTAGAATTGAAATTCTCCCTTAATTGTATTACATTAAGTTTTTTTGTGTGTGTTAACAATTTATTGTATCAAAAATATTGGGTATCATACAAACAAATCTAACATGTAGATGATATATTGAAAATATTTTTCAGTTAAAGATACATCAAATCTTGAGAAGTAAGAGTTAATATGGTATACAAAAAAAATGATGAATTAGTTATAACATTTCTAAGAAAAAGCCTAGTGTTCAAATTATATAAAAATTTTAATATATAAAACATTTGGATTGAAAATTTTAAAATAAAAAATGATGTATCAATTAAATTGTTACAAATTACTTATGGTTTTAATTTTGACAGAAGAATACCGAAAATTTTGTTCTTTGATCCGTGCAAGTGTTTGTTTTTATATATTTTATAAGTGATAATATATATTTCTAAATTTACCCGTTTAAATAATTGTTTAAAACGACATTTTAAACACACAATTTTATAGTTTATATTGAGTAATTTTATTTTATATTATAAACTATCATTGTGTCATACTTATTTTAAAAATATGACCCGTATATCTGCAAAAATGTTTTATTTTTATTTTTATGTATCAAAATTTTATGATAATGTATAACTAAATTGTTGTATCTGCTATTTAAAATATATGGTCCTATATATTTCTACTTTTTAACTTTTATTATTCTGAATTCACCTTGAACTATTATTTATATTAAAATATACATAACATAATATGTTTATATTAATCTATGTATTATATATTATATAAATGTTTCTTTTTGTGACTTTTATTTTAGTTATTACTTATAAATAATAAAAATATAATTATATATCTTTGAAAACAATATTGTTCATTAACTATTTAAAGATATGTAGATAATTAATAAGAAAAAAAATCCTAAAAGGTAGGTTAATTAATATTGGAATTAATTATTATGTATATGGAATTAGTAAAACAATTTCTATATAATTTATTTATTTAATTACGAAAGTTATATATGAAAATAATTATTTTCATTAATTATTGTTGCCATAATTTTTTTTAGTTAGAATTTGATTTTGGATATGCAAGTGAAAAGACAAAGAATCATATAAGGTAGTGTAATTAATAACTTCAATGGCATGTTATTGTAAATAAAAGTAAAAATTAAGAGGTATTTTATATAGATACTTCTCTTTTAATAATATAGATTCATTCAGCGAGAATAAATTCACTCCATACAGCATAAACTACTACTTCAACCACCTGAATTGGTTAAATGATACGACAATAACAAAACTAAAACCAAATTACAATTCAGGCCATAGCATTGGACTTCTAACGATTAGAGTAAATTCGGTGAGAACTCATAAAATAAACAAATATAAATGTATAAATTATCTAGAAAACAAATAACATATATAAATAAACAGAAAATTAAAATTACCAAGTTTCAGTAAATAAATATAAAAACAAAATATGATTAATATAATGAGATAATTTGCTGAGGCACCACGATTGACTATTTATTTTGCATTTTACACTCGATTTGACTTCTTTAGAATTATTGACCAAAACACACATCGTTTTTTCTCTTCCTATTTGCGTAGTCCTGTCATTCTCTTTCCTACTACTTTTTGCCATATTTTCTTCTAGTTTTTTCTTCACCGAAAATATATGTGATGTTTGTAACTTCAATTTTTAATTATTATACAAATATTTATCAAGTTATATTCAATTCATTTTTAATTTTAATTTTTATTTTCATAAGTAATTTTTTATCTTCAATTTTATTGGTTCTTATTTTTCCACTCATTCAAATATATATATATATATATATATATATATATATATATATATATATATATTCTATGTGGTTTTAAAAAATAACTTTGATTTTTTATATTTATTCATTGTGATGGAAATATTAAAATTTTACATTATCTATTTGTTAAAAGCTAGTACATAACACTTTTGTTAACATTTACAATATTTGTTAGCAGCTAACAATTATGTTAACATATCTGTTACATGTATTTGTTAACAACCAACACTTAAGATCTATAATATTTATTAACAGCTAACACCTCTGGTACATGTATTTGTTAACAGCTAACACATCTATTAACTTTTACATTATTTGTTACAGATAACACATTTGTTAACAATTAGTGATTTTACAGATATTGTAATGTTGATTTTCTCAATATGTGGTGTAATTAAACAAATTAATACTTTGTTTCGTATGTTAATTAGTTTTTAACGAATAAAAAATATTTTGTTTCGTGTGTCAATTAGTTTTTGATAAATAAAAATTATTTGGATGAAAAAAATGGTGGAAGAAGAAACTGTATAATAAGAAACCAATGAAAGAAATGGAAAGAGAATGTAATAAATAATAAAGAATCGCAGAGAAGGCAGAGAATGCAAGAGGGACTTCATTGATAAACAAAGTTCTAGTGTTAGAAAATCTTGTCTTTATGTGAAATCACAGACATTTCTCTAATATAAGCTTTCAATATGAGTATTTCGCTGAATCACTCTGATATAATTAGTCAACTATAAATAATTAATATCTTAGATTATTTAAAATAAAAATAAAATATAAATATTGTTTTGATGTAGAAGTTGGTGTAAAAATTGGTGTGATTGTTTAAGATGAAAATAAAATTTAACACTAAATATGATTTAATTTCGACACCATATTTGATGTTATGAATTATAATGTTGATTGGAAATATTCTTATATAATAGACAAAAGAGTGAAGTTGAAATATTTATATTATTTTATAGTGAATAATAGAGTGAAGGTGAAAATGTTGTAAGATTTGTGTTTTTTTCTGTAAAATTGTTTGCATTTTTAAATTAAATACTTATCTTATTGACTATTACCTACCAATATAATATTACTTTATTTTATTTATGTCTGCTTAATGTATACTACATTCTTTTTGCTCAACTTCATATTTATTCAACAAAATCAAATAACCTCTATAGACTTGGACCAAATGAAATGATACAAGTATTATCATGAACCACTAAGTTAGATCCGGTTTTACTTAACCAAACCATCATTGCATTTTATCAACCACACAAGGATATATAATACACCACTCGTTCATAAATATTAATGGTTTATCTTACTAAAGAGCTAGACTAGAAGTTAAACATTGCTAAAACATTAAACTATTTTTATTTCATATTAAATGTATAAAATTTTAATTTTAACTAATATTTTAAATAAAATAATATATAAATAAATATTATAATTATCTATAAGAAAAATAACATATATAATAAACAAAAAAATCAAAATTACCAAGTTTCAATAAATAAATATAAAAACTAAATATGATCAATATAACTAGTCAAATATAAATAATTAATGTCTTAAATTATTAAAAATAAAATATATAATATTATTTTGAGGTAGAATTTGGTGATATGAAAATAAAATTTATACCAAATATGTTTTAATTTCAACACCATATTTGATGTATGATTAAAAATGTCCTTATATAATGGAACTTTTTGTATTATTTTATAGTGAATAATAGAGTAAAGTTGAAAATGTTGCAAGGCTTACGTTTTTTGTGTAAAAAAATTGTTTACAATTGTAAATACTTACTTTATTGACTATTACCTACCATTATAATATTATTTTATTTATTTATGTTTGTTCAATGTACACTACATAAAACTTTTTTTTAGTCAACATCATATTAATTCAATTAAATCAAACCTCTATAGTTTTGGACCAAATGCAGTGATCCAGTCTAGTATTATCATGAATCACTAAGTTGATCTATGTTACTAATCCGAACCATCATTGCATTTTTTAACCACACAGGGATAGATAAAACACCACTCGTTCATAAATATTAATTGTTTTTCCTACTATGGAGCTAGAGTAAAAAATAAACATTACTAAAACATTAAACTATTCTTTTTTTATTTTGAATTAATAAAATAAGTATATGAGTATTATCAATCACATTAACTTGTAACAAAATTAAAAGGATTTTCATGTTAAATGTATAAAATTTTAATGTTGACTAATATTTTAAACAATATAAATAGATAAATAAATATAATCTATAGAAAAAAACATATGTAAATAAACAGAAAATTAAAATTACCAAGTTTCAGTAAATATATATATATAAATAAATGTGATCAATATAACTAGTCAACAATAAATAATCAATATCTTAAATTATTAAAAATAAAAATTATATTGTTCTGATGTAAAATCTGGTGTGATAGTTGAAGATGAAAAAAAATAAACACCAAATATGGTTTAATTTCAATACTAAATTTGATGTTATGATTATAAATGTCTTCATCTAATGGACAATATAATAGGATTGAAATATTTTTATCATTTTATAGTGAACAATAGAGTGAAGTTTAAAATATTGTAAGGCTTATGTTTTTTTTGCTGTAAATATTGTTTGCAGTTGTAAATACTTATCTTATTGACTATTACCTATCAATATAATATTATTTTATTTATTTATGTTTGTTCAATGTACACACATAAAAAAACAAATTTCCTCAACATCACACTCATTCAACTAAATCAACTAACCTCTATAGACTTGGACCAAATGCAATGATATTACCATGAATCACTAATTTGGGTCCAATGTTACTCAACCGAACTACCATCGCATTTTTTTTCAACTACACTGGGATAGATAGCGCACCCCTCGTTCATAAATATTCATTGTTTATCCTAATATGAAGTTAGAGTAAAAATTAAGCATTACTAAAAAACTTTAAACTATTTAAATTTTATATTTTAAATTAATAATATGATTATATGAGTATTATCAATTACATTAACTAGTAACAAAATATAAATGATTTTAATTTTAAATGTATAAATTTTTAATTTTGACTAATAATTTAAATAAATTAAATAGATAAATAAATAATCTATTATTTTAGGAACCTATTTTTAGTTTAGGATCCTATTTTTATATACAATTAACAAGTCATAGTAGGATCACTTAATTTTTTTTAATATGACAAATTTGATTATTTACGTTAATGATAAACAAATTATAAATTTGAATTTTATTTTTTAATTAAAATAAAATCTGTTGACAAAAAAATCTAACAAAATTTTAGTTGAAAATTTAAATATTTTTATTTTAGAAAAAAACACATTAATAAATTTCCTAATTAGTATTATAATCTTATTTTAAACCAGTGTTAACTACTATTTTATTATAAAACATGAAAAAAACTCAATACTATTTTTACAAATTCTGTAATTATATTTAGTATTATAAAATAACAATCTATATGAATTAAATATGAAGATTATATTAAATGGGTAAATTAAAAAATGTTATTTTTGTAATTTTTTATTTTAAACAAATTATCACTCATCATTAAAATATGTTAAAATTCGTAAACTACATAATAGTTTTATACAAATAAATGTATTAACCTAAATTATAATTTTATATCTACAACTATATATTATATTTTTATTTATTTTTTAGTTCTTAACAATATATTGTTTAAAAATATTTATATGCAAAAATATAATAACCTTTAGTCCATATACAATTTAAAATATGTTATTAGAAAACTATGAAATTTTAGTAATTCATTTAAAATACTAATGACAAATTAACTTTTAATTATAAATTTACTTTTATTTTTATTACAATAAAATATGTTGAGAATTTTTTTAAATATAATACCAAAAGTTAAAATATTTATAAAATAATATATTAATGTACTAACGAAAACAATTAAAAATTTATGTAATGTTTCAAACTCAAAAATAGTTGTGTAATTTTTCAAAGTTTTCTTGACAGATTATAAAATATAAGAATGAATATTGAAACTCAAATGATAATACAAAATATAAAATCGTAGATAATAAAGAATAATTTTTTGGAAACCTAATACTTTAAAGTCCTAATTAAAAAATAATAAAAACATCAAAATATATTCATATATCAATAAAATTTACTAAAATAATAGGACTATATTATTGAAAGAAACAGAGTTTTACTTATAAATCGCGTAAAATACTAAAATAATATATGTTAAAAGTATATTTTTCTAAACACAACATGTAAATGTATATTATTTTCATCATATTTTTTTCTATAATATAAATAAATAAAAATTTAAAATATATTATATGCAAAATGTATAAATTAAAAAACATATTTTAAAGAAGGTTCTCTATTTAGTTATTTCTTATTGTTATTTTATTTTACCTAACTCGAAAATATATTAGTAAGTAATAAAATTTATTAAACAAATTGCTATATATTAATAATGTAAATAAAAAATAGAAAAAATAATATTATAAAGTTACACAATATATAACACTAAAATAAAAATTATATATTAAAAATATTTATAATAATATCAAATAGATTTAGAAAATGAAAATATCTGCAGGAACGTGCAAGTTAAAATAGTTAGCGATTATTTATTAATCCCTTAATAGGTCACAACTCTAAAGTCAACAAATTCAATATGAAAATGGAAAGAATGCCACGTATGAGAGTCAAATCTATCCGACCAGGTATCCACCATTGTTTTGAATTTCGATTGGACGAAGATTGTTTGATCAACATTGTCATTTTCGTGCTACCCCATCTTCTCTCTCGCCAACCTTCATCCTATCTCGATTCATCACGACGAAATTACAAAATCTTCCGATCTCTGATCTCGCTGATCACCTGATTCCTCAATTGCCTTCAATCTTGGTATATCGTAGGGTTTTCGAAAAGTTCCAATTTCGTATCTTGTTCGTTCGGAAACCCTAAGCCCCCTTTCTTGTTCAGCGACGTCTCTGGAGTTCATGGTTGTTTGGTAAACCAACACGTTTTGAAAAATGAACGCTGTGAATATTCTTTATAAGAAAAACCCTAAGTTTCGAGGGATTTTCAATGGACTCTGTGCGTTGATTCTATTCATTTTCTTCTTCGATCGAAGCGAAATTCTCAAGAACCCTTTGTTAAAGAGAGCATCTTTCGTCTCTAACAACAACGGTTTCACCCAATTCACTATGATTCGTCGACACATGATCGAAGCTAATGACACCTTGAGCAGCACTAGTACTGTCTTATGCTCCGGTTTACACAACCACATCGGTTACACAGACCAATGCGAGTTTTTAAAAGCGAACCCATCTTGTTCCCCTGATGGGTTCTTTGATTACCTCAGCTTCTTTTACTGCACATGCCAAGATTTCAAGATCTTGGGTTACATGATCCTCGGTGTTTGGCTTGTTGCCTTGTTTTATCTCTTGGGTAACACTGCTGCTGATTACTTTTGTTGCTCCTTGGAGAAGCTCTCTAAGCTTCTGAGGCTACCTCCTACCCTCGCTGGTGTTACTCTGCTTCCTCTTGGGAACGGAGCTCCTGATGTGTTTGCGAGTATAGCTGCTTTCGTTGGTTCGGATAAAGGAGAAGTTGGGCTTAATAGTGTCCTTGGTGGTGCTGTGTTTGTTACTTCCGTTGTTGTTGGGATTGTTTCGCTTTGTGTTGCGGATATGGAAGTGAAGCTTGATAAGAAGTGTTTTATTAGAGACTTGAGTTTCTTTCTCTTCTCGCTTTTGTCTCTGCTTGTGATTTTGATGGTTGGGGAGGTGACGGTACGGATTGCTGTTGCGTTTGTTTCGATTTATGTTGTTTATGCGTTTCTTGTGGCGGCGAATGTGATTCTGAGGAAGCATGCTAAGAGGTTTAAGATTGAGGCGATTACTCCTTTGTTACCTATGCAAGGGAGTGTTTTTTCGCCTAGTGTTGGAGAGGATTTTCCGATTCATAGTCCATTGATTGAGAGTGACTCTGAGGATGGTCCACCTCGGTTACTGAACTCTCTTCCTCAGTGGATGTGGGCTTCAAACGTGGCTATCTATTCAAACCATTTCGCTAGAGGTAGTAGTAGTGTGCTAGATGATGATAGACCACCTTGGGGATGGATTGAAGACAGTGCAGAAGTTGAGAGCTCTTTGTGTAATAAACTCACTTCTTTGTTGGAAATTCCATTGACAGTTCCGAGGAAGTTAACGATCCCATCAGTGGAGGAAGATACATGGTCAAAGACATACGCTGTGGCTAGTGTTACATTAGCGCCTCTGCTTCTGGCGTCTCTCTGGAGTAGCCAAGACAATGTGAGTACACAAGCTTGTGGTGTGGTTTATTTTATCAGCCTTGCTATTGGCTCTACTCTTGGCTTTTTTGCTTACAAAAACACGGAACCGGATCACCCGCCTCGGAGATTCTTGATCCCTTGGGTTCTAGGTGGGTTTATCATGAGCATCGTATGGTTCTACATGATTGCAAACGAGCTCGTTGCTCTCCTTGTGACATTTGGTGAGATCTATGGAATCAACCCGTCGATACTTGCGTTGACAGTTCTAGCTTGGGGAAACTCAATGGGTGACTTAGTCTCAAATATAGCATTGTCCATGAACGGTGGGGATGGTGTACAAATCGCCATATCGGGATGTTATGCAGGTCCAATGTTCAACACACTGGTCGGACTCGGTATGTCAATGCTCCTCGGCGCATGGTCCAAGAGCCCTGACAAATACATGGTCCCGGACGACAAAAGCCTGTTCTACACACTTGGGTTTCTCGTACTTGGTTTGGTTTGGGCTTTGGTTATACTCCCGCGTAACGACATGCAACCTAACAAAACCTTAGGTGTTGGACTCATTGCTTTGTATCTGATGTTTGTGACTTTCAGGCTCAGTTGCGCCATGGGATTCATACCATGGGCTGCTTAGAAGCTTATATGTAATGTAACAATGTTTCTACCTTAACTAAACAACTAATCAGAGGCTGCTATTGTTTGTAATGATGAGCTTTCATAGTCTTTGTTTCTTATCGGTTTGTTGTTCTGTCATACCTGCCACTTAGTTTTGTAACCTCATGATTCTTATCCTTTTGTATCTTAAAGTCGGGTGACCCACGTCTCTGACGTGGCATGTTGACGAAACAAAAGATTCAGAAGCTCGGAGAAACCAATAAATACATCACTAAAGCATCGCCCATCATCCACTGCAATGGCTAAGCTCTCTCTCTCCTCTGTCTATTTCGTTTTCTCTCTCTTCCTCTGTTTCTTCTCGTCAACATCTTCTCCGGATGGGTTAGAGTCTTACATCGTTCATGTACAGAGTTCTCATAAGCCTACTCTCTTCTCCTCCCACAACCACTGGCACAACTCTCTCCTCCGCTCCCTCCCACCTTCTCCACAACCACCAACGCTCCTCTACTCTTACTCACGCGCCGTTCAAGGCTTCTCCGCTCGTCTCTCACCAACACAAACCACCGCTCTTCGCCGTCACCCCTCCGTTATCTCCGTTATACCAGATCAAGCGCGTGAGATCCACACCACTCACACACCTGCCTTCCTCGGATTCTCAGATAACTCTGGTCTCTGGAGCAACTCCAATTACGGAGAAGACGTCATCGTCGGCGTTCTGGATACCGGAATCTGGCCGGAGCATCCTAGCTTCTCCGATTCAGGTCTCGATCCAATCCCTCCTACGTGGAAAGGCGCGTGTGAGATCGGACCTGACTTCCCTGCTTCGTCTTGTAACCGTAAGCTAATCGGAGCTAAAGCGTTCTACAAGGGATACTTAACGCAACGTAATAAAACAACAACGAGAGCAGCGAAAGAATCGCGATCTCCGCGGGATACAGAAGGTCACGGGACCCACACGGCATCAACAGCAGCTGGATCGGTGGTTGCGAACGCTAGCTTGTATCAATACGCACGTGGAGTGGCACGTGGGATGGCTTCTAAGGCGAGAATCGCCGCTTATAAAATCTGTTGGACAGGTGGTTGTTACGACTCCGATATCCTCGCTGCGATGGATCAGGCCGTTGCGGATGGTGTTCACGTGATCTCGTTATCCGTTGGAGCTAACGGTTACGCTCCCGAGTATCATATGGACTCAATCGCGATCGGAGCGTTTGGTGCCACGCGCCATGGAATCGTCGTTTCATGCTCTGCTGGAAACTCTGGTCCTGGTCCAGAGACCGCTACTAACATCGCTCCTTGGATCTTAACCGTCGGTGCGTCCACGATCGATAGAGAATTCTCCGCGAACGCGATCACCGGGGATGGGAGAGTCTTCACCGGAACGTCGCTCTACGCCGGGGAGGATCTCCCTGATTCTCAGCTTCCTCTGGTGTATTCCGGCGATTGCGGGAGTAGATTGTGTTTCCCCGGGAAGCTGAACGCGTCCTTGGTGGAAGGGAAGATCGTTCTCTGCGACAGAGGAGGTAACGCTAGAGTTGAGAAAGGAAGCGCCGTCAAGATCGCCGGCGGAGCCGGCATGATTCTCGCGAATACAGCTGAAAGCGGAGAAGAACTCACCGCGGATTCGCATCTCCTCCCGGCGACGATGGTCGGAGCTAACGCCGGAGATCAAATCCGCGAGTACATTAAGAAAACAGACTCTCCAACGGCGACGATCAGCTTCTTAGGCACTTTGATCGGACCGTCTCCTCCTTCTCCAAGAGTCGCCGCCTTCTCAAGCCGTGGACCGAATCATATAACTCCGGTTATCCTTAAACCGGACGTGATTGCGCCAGGTGTTAATATATTAGCCGGTTGGACCGGAATGGTTGGTCCAACCGATTTAGATATCGATCCGAGACGGGTTCAATTTAATATAATCTCCGGTACGTCGATGTCGTGTCCTCACGTGAGTGGACTCGCTGCTCTCCTCCGTAAAGCTCATCCCGATTGGTCACCCGCCGCGATCAAATCGGCGCTCGTTACAACCGCTTACGATGTAGAAAACTCAGGCGAACCGATCGAGGATCTCGCTACCGGTAAGTCGTCGAATTCGTTTATCCACGGAGGTGGACACGTGGATCCGAATAAAGCGTTGAATCCTGGTTTGGTCTACGACATTGATGTTAAAGACTACGTGGCGTTCCTCTGCGCCGTTGGATACGAGTTTCCGGGGATTTTAGTGTTTCTTCAAGATCCAACGCTTTACAACGCTTGTGAGACGAGTAAGGTGAGAACAGCTGGGGATCTTAATTATCCATCGTTCTCCGTTGTTTTTGGATCGAGTGTGGATGTTGTGAAGTACAGAAGGGTTGTTAAGAACGTTGGGAGCAGTGTTGACGCGGTGTATGAAGTCGGAGTTAAATCTCCGGCGAATGTGGAGATTGATGTGTCTCCGAGTAAGCTTGTGTTTAGCGAGGAGAAGAGGGAGTTGGAGTATGAAGTGACGTTTCGGAGCGTTGTGCTTGGCGGGGGAGTTGGATCTGTACCGGGTCATGAATTCGGGTCGGTTGAATGGACGGACGGTGAACACGTTGTCAAGAGCCCGGTGGCTGTTCAGTGGGGTCAAGGCTCAGTTCAGTCATTCTGATTGAATTAAGTATTTGGGTCAGTTAATGGGCCTTGTAGTAAATGGGCTGATCTGTTGAGCTCTTACTCTTGTGTTAGACCATGATGCATAGGGTAAATGAGCAGAAAATTCGATTTGCTTTTGTAAAATTAGCAACCTGTTTATTTCATCAATCCGTCAAACAAATGATTGGGATTTATTAGCCCAAATGTTTTAGTTCATTAGCCCGACCATTAATTAAAATCGATTCAAAGATCCACAAGAACATTAATATTGGGCTAATGCTGTTTGTAACCAGACCGTTATATACAAGACTAGGTGGTTGTTTGTGATCGGTTAAAAGAAAACCGGAATGAAATACATGTGAAGAAGATGCGTGCAAGGAAAGAGTGGTTGCGTGTGAAGGAGAGAAAGAACACTACCACGTGGAGGACAAGTCATGATGGCTGACCCAATCCTAATACGTTGCTTCTTACGCAAATCGTTATGTTTATTTCGGGACCACCTCTTCTTTTTTCTTCAGTTTATTCCTAAAACCGAAACTAACCGATTAGATTCCGAAAAATATCTTGAATTCTGCATATAAAACCAAAAACAATTTTCCCTAAACAATTCAAATTGAATGATTCTTCCTCTACCATCTCATCTGACTTAAACAAAACACGTCATCATAAAGACTAACGTATAATGCGTATTTTATACACTAACGCACGTGCTATAGAATGTAACAGACTTTCGACAAGTTGACTCTCAACTACCGTAAATCCGTAATTAGTGGTAAATATTCAAAACAGATTTACGGTTGTGGTTCAATTCTAAGCTCAAGACTGAACCGAACCGTCTGATTTTAGGAAGACACACGTTCCCCACAAGTCAGTGTAGGTGAAACTAGGGACTAGACACGTGACATGAGCGTGACATCCCCTTCTTTTCTATGGCCGCCGATTCGGACGCGTGCCATGTTCAACTTCGCCGTCTTGGCACCACGTGGCGACTATTTTTTGCTGTGATGGGTTATCTCCGAGACGCGTCGGTGTGTCTTTATCAAAAAGAAACTTCTTCTCATGCCTAATCAATCTTCTTCTAGAGCATCTGGAAAGGAAAAAAAAAACCCAAAAGTTAAAAAATAGTATATTTAAAATTTTAATTATAACCAGTTATATAAAGAGTTAATTTCATGTGGAGTCAGTTTTTGAGTTTGTCTATCATTTTAAGACAGTTTATTATACATGAGTAGTTTTTGAGTATAAAGACTCAAATGGTCCCTCAAAAGGTTGTAACTAGCACCAAAAATCTGGTACCCTTATGGTTAAGTTTAATTGCACAATTTTTTTTTTTTATAATTTCAAATTTCGTAATTATTTCCCTGGTTGCGTACCCGACACATTAAATTAACTGTTTTTTATCGGTTCCGTAGTTTCTATTGGTGTCTTTAGGTTTTCCCTTTTCCTTTTTTTTTTCTTAGTTTTTTTTTTCCATTACTAGAAAACTTCGAACAGGGAAAATAAAAAACAGAGAAGACTAAAGAGACGACTAATCGATTTTCTTGATTCCAGATCTGAAAATGTCGAGCCGTCGGAAAAGGCGGGGTAAAGAAATCACCAGAGGTTAGTTTCGTTTTTTTCTAAGTTTATACTTCCATTTGAGATGTGGTTCGATTCGAGTATCTGTGACTAATTTTTTTGGGTTTTTAATTTCTAGTAAGAGGAGATGCCACCGAAGTCGACGAGAAACTTTCTAAGCGGCTTTTCGCGTGCACAGTGAAGCCACAAACATATGTACATGTCTCTATTCTGTACACCACATAGTATACATGTGTACGCCAACACTGTGTACATCTGTACTAATATACGTACACATTTCCATAGCCTTACATGTTCTTCCTTGTACACTATATATTATCCACTTATCCACGGGTATACCATAAACCCTCCTAAGAGATGTGTACACCCACTGTGTACACCTTCTTAAAAATGTGTACACCTGAGCTTTTATAGTGTACAATGGATACGCAATGCACGTGTACACGATCCACCCTTCCCACAGTGTGTTCACCATCCAGCATGGTCCTACTGTGTACACCCTTTTTAAAAATTGAGCTTCTTTACAATGGAAGTATCAATTGCAGAAAAGACAACAATAGATACTTATTCTCGATGGATACTTACATTCAAGCCCATCCACACCGTATACCTACTCCTGGCAACCACCAGATGTACATGTGCTTTTCCTGGACATTACTTAGTGTCCATAGGTCCAGTACTTCTTAGAGTGTCAACCTGTTAACCTGTGTACACCACTTAACCATTTTTCTAGCTTAACTTCTTCCCACATGGAGGTTGCTAGGTCCATGATATACAAAGCATCTAATGGACCATTTTTCCTCAGTTCCAGCTCTTCTATCCAGCCCTCAAGAATGTAAACCTCAATGTTAAGCTTATGGTACGCGTGCACACCGACACCACAAAACATCTGTACATGTCTCTATCCTATACACCACTTAGTATCCACGTGTACACCAAACTGTGTAGAGTGAAGCCACAAACATCTGTACATGTCTCTATCATGTACACCACATAGTATCCATGTGTACGCTGACACTGTGTATATCTGTACAAATAGACGTACACGTTTCCATAACCTTACATGTTCTTCCTTGTACACTATATATTATCCACTCATCCACGGGTATACCATAAACCCTCAGAGATGTGTACACCCACTATGCACACCTCTTGAAAATGTGTACATATGTACATGTCTCTATCATGTACACCACTTAGTATCCATGTGTACACTAAACTGTGTACACGTGGATACGTTGTTGCCCACTAGGTAAACACTTGTACATCTGTGCGTCTTCCATGGTCGTATAGTGTACAAGGAAGAACATGTAAAGCTATGGAAACATGTAGGTCTATTGGTATACAATGGGACTACATGTTTGATGGTGTACATTTCGGTGTACACATAAATACTATGTGATGTACATGATAAAGACATGTACATATGTTTGTGGTTTCGGTGTGCACGTTTGGGAATAATCCTGAAATTTTAAGTCAGTGTTGAATGGTGTACAAAGGAAACATGTTGATCTGTTGGTGTGCAATGATGTACACGCGTCCATGTGGTACGTGTCCATGCGAGTCATTTAAAAAGATGTGAATGTTTCATAGTTATGAATAAATATAGATTTCCATGTTGCTAATCATTTAAGAAGATGTGAATGATTGGTGTAGATGTAAACCGAGGTAAAATTATGTATGTGGATATTCATTGGTTGGTGTCCATGTGGACAAACAATTTATTGTACACATAGCATATATAATAATGAGACGTTATTAGTTATGTATATATGACTATAAATGAGCAATAATGTATAAGATGAATTAGTGAACATGTACATTATACAGTGGCTAATGTGAAAAACTAGAAAATAATAAATGTGTATATGAAGAAGAGTGGTAGTATACATAAAAACAAGCATGTAATTGTCAGAGTACATGACATTGTTCTCCAAATTAACCAAAGACATCGCGGGGGAAATCGGTACAATCCTTCTCATATGTTGCAAATTTTCACAGGAAATCGCAGAATTTTCATTCGCCAGGTATAACCATGCAATAATCTTCCATGGGAAACATGTAAATCATTACAATAATTCTAATATTATGTACTAAGCTATTAAGATTATAAATTAAATAAACAAACCTGAATTTGGAAAGCCTGATAAATAGATTAAGGGTGGTTAATGCTCTTGGAATTACTGAGTGATAAATTAAGGTTTGATTGTTTTTGTGGCCGTGGGAAAAAAAAAAGGTTGATGAAGATAGAAATAATAAAGAGAAAACTTGTAATCTAGATCATTAAAATTCATAGTATAAAATTAAAATTAAATCTAATGGATAAGAAGAGAGACAGGTATAAATCTTGTCAAGTGGACAGTTTTAATCTAAACCACTCATAAGGGAGAGAAATATGTGGCTCTGGTTTGTTCCCGCTAATACACAATTTTGTTTGATTTTTTTAGTCAACGATATAGTTAAGAAAGAAGAGAAAAATAACTAGTTGTTAGGAAAAGAAGTGAGTTGTTAGAAAAAAGTGTCTGAGTAGTCTAATGTGTCCTATAGTGTTAATAGAAACTTAATAACTGCCCCTGGATGTAATATTTTCTTATATAAATCTATAATTCTCTGCATGCATTGCAAATGTCATTGTTGCCCCTGCTCAATAACCCACATTGTAAACGTGATCGCTTGCAAAACTTATTCGGTAATCTCTTATATACTAAAGCACAAGTCACCTGACGAATCAGAATTAGACACGTGGCAAAGCAAAATTTTACAAAATAAAGTAAATACTATTGATTAAAAAAATTGGATCGCGAGTTAGAAAAAAAAAGAAAGATAATTTAATCCCTTTTCTTTTTAAACTCCAAATACCTAAATCCCTAAATTTTCTCACATTATCACCCCACTTACAAAATAAAGAGCACGTTCTGTAACTGTTTATTTTGTGTTTACTTTTATATCTTATTTAGTTTTATTACTTTCTCTTTCGTCGTTTCTTCTCCTGATGTTGATCAGTTCTTCCACTGATAAAAAAAAATCTATAGAAGCTATGATTACTCATAATTCTAATATTTTCTAAATGTTTGCTCTTCGTTTAGATTCAGTTTTCTATTATTCTTAATAAATAATTTCTTAATTGTTCATTTCAGGTAAAACAAAATGAAAATTGAAAAGTTCAAGCTTTGTCAACAACGAAGGTAGCCATATGCATCCCCACTCTATTATCTACAAATTAAATGGATAAATTGAAAAGTTCCTTTTATGTCTTACCTTTGTGAAACTTCTTATATTTCTTTTGCATCCAAGAAAAACAGAAACAAAGAAGGAAGAAGAAAAAATACAAACAAAATAAAAGGATGTAGCTTTCTCTGCAACGAACATAACTCACGAGCAGAACCGTAAACAAATGGTATTTTTAGTTATTTTCTCTCCTACATTACGGTTTAAGAATCTCTATTTTGTTTTTGTAGCTTTGAAATCAAATCTCACAGCTAACAAATAATGATGTGATGCCAGTCTACCGAGGCCAAAAATTATCAATACTTAAGGCGATGCAATTTAGGTATTTATATATTTGTTTGTTATAGTTTTGACTATTTAACATATTTTTACAATTTTTTGCTTGACAAAAAAATCTTAGAGATTTTTGTAAGTCTATTATATTAATAATTTTGTATGAATGTTTTCTAATATTAATTCCAAGAATTCTATTTTAAATAATACTTATTTACAAAAAAATACAAATAAAACTGAATATATCAAATATGATATTTATCTACGTTCAGAAAAAGATATTTAAATAAGTTCAATTTTTCTTTAAAAACATCACAATTTAATTTTTTAAATAATTTTAAAGCAAGCAAAAATTATACCCGTGCTAAGCACGGGGTAATAATACTAGTGATATAATAAAGATCGTTAGTTCAAGTATTGAGTTATTTATTAGCAAGGTTATATTACATATCGTTTTTTATATAAACAATCTAAAGTATGATTTAACGAAGAAGGGGAAAGGGGTTACAGGAAATAGACACAGAAGACAATATATAATGGTGGACCTTGTTTTCTACAATTTGCTGATTATTGTTCATGTTTAAAGTAGCAACTTAACCCAATTTGCCAAAAAGTAAAAACAAGTTTATCAAATACTACAGAGACTTGTTTTTCTCAACACTCGTCATGATCTTGTAAATGAATAAAGGTAATGCAAATTGGATGACTCATCTGCCGTAGAGATTGTGCTATAAACATTTTTTTAAAACATAAATTAAAGTAGATGAATAAAAATATTCCTAGAGGATAAGATCATAAAATAAGAAAATGATTAAATATAAATAAATAAAAATATGGCGGGGTCATGCATCGGCGTGAAGCTAAAGAAAGCATATCTGAATAATACAAATATCTCACTAAAGTTTGTAATCCCCTAGACCAAAATATTGATGCTAAAAGTTTAAGTGTGATTAAAATACTTTTACAGATAACAAATTACACAATTTAGACTTTATGGAATTAGTGCTTCCATTGTTTAGCTTGTCACACGAGTAATGGTTAAAAGACAATTATCCTAATTTGTCTGTTGATTAAAAGCCAGTTATCATAAGATGTCTTAATAGTGCTAATCTAGACCTTTATGAAAATAGTGCTAATTGTGAGTCTTGTGCTTCCAGATCTTAATTTGCCGTACGAGTTAGGTTAAAAGACAATTAGCTTAAAATGTCTTTAATCAACACACCCAAAAGTCATCTAGTGACCACCACTCCATAAACTATAATTAAATTAGCTATAGTTGAGATATCGATGTCATCTGACTGGATATCGTTAATTAATCAAATTAGCGTGTCATCAGCTTTTTGCAAGTCTCATTAAATCAACTTGATCTATTCGTGTTTTGAGTTTGGAAGACAGATTGATAATACGAATAAAATCAAATTTTAAAATATAATTTCGGACAAGATCTCACAGATCTTTGGTTAGGACACAACGCACTAGCAAATATTTTATTCTTTAGATATGTTTTTTGAATCAATACCCAATAATAAATCAAAAAACAAAAGAATCTTCTTTATTAAAACAGAATCATTCCTAATATTTACCCCTACCATTCCCTGGAATATTACTTTTTTTGCCACTGTACCTTCTTTTTATTAAAAAACTGCTTTTTACATATTTATATCTACTTTTTGTCGACAGATATATATATATATGCAGTTATGAAATATTTTCATTAAACAAGCAGTTATATTTTATTTAAAGATTTTTTTACTTAAAAAAAAAGAACGTGGTCCTCCTCAACTCAATCATCTTAATTCACGATACTCAACTGCAATCTACAAAATAACTGTAAACCTAATATCTTTCATTCTTCGTTAACCTTATTATCTTTGCTTATATATATTGCAGACGAAACATAACTCTCCCAAACCTTTCTTCTATATCAAAACCAAACTGCTAACATGGAACTCAGCTTTGTCAACCAGATTAAGCCGCTCAAAACAAGATGGCGTCTGCAAGTAAAGGTCCTACATACCTGGAAGCAATTCACACCACTATCAGGAGAAACTATGGAGATTGTTTTGTCTGATGCATATGTAATTTTCTTAACTCACTACTCAGATTCATTCTGTTATATCTTTTCATTATTCTTAACTACATCTATCTGGCAGAGTACTAACTGAGTAATGTTTTTGTTCTTATACTGAAGGGTAACAAAATTCACGCATCATGTAAGAAATCTTACTTTCATCGTTTGGCGGATAAACTATCTGTTGGTGTTTGGAGGAACATCGACAATTTCTCTGTCACTAATAACGGCAGTAACTTCAAGACTACCAATCATCCATACAAGATTGTCTTCATTCACGCCACTGAAGTCATTCCTTCAACACTGCAAGACGACAACATGTTTCTTAGTTTGGTCGACTTTGAATGTATTGAAAGTGGACAACTTGAGCCATCCATCTTAATTGGTTAGTTTTTTACAGTAATAAAAATTTACACATTTACATTGTTGTTAACTTGACTATGATACTTATCTTTTTGTTTGGTATCTTATTCTCGCTACCACTGGATAAGGTCCTCTCTGATAATTAACTCCTGCAGAAAAGAATTATAAGTTGTATATATATGGCTTCTATATCAATCACCAAATTCCATTTTTTTTTTTATAACACTTGTGAAAATGAAACAGAAAGTTCATGAAAAGAGTTAGAGTATAAGCAACTTATCATTTTGTTTTGGTCTTTAATTCTCACTGCCAAGTAGATTTCAACTGCTATGCTTTCAAAAGAAGATAGCCAATCATCTCAGCTTCCACAGTCTCCCACGCCTTTCTGATAAGAAAGTGACAGTTTTACAATTTAAACAAATATTTATGGAGTTTATTAAATTCTTAACCACTTTAGATTCATCATCATATACCTTGAAAGATGTCTTATATAACACGACTTATGACTCTCCAACCAAAAGGTTGACCTTGAGCATCATCCACTGCTTTTATAAACATTCAAACAAAGGAAAGAAAATCTCTAAATTAATCAAAAGAGACTGACAAAGATCAGTCAAGCAAAGTAACAGAGGATGTAAACATATTCAAAACTGTAAGTGATTTTGGTACGCAAACAAAATCTCTGATTTTTAAGTATGTAAAAGATCTATTGTGATAACATAGTTCTTTATGAATATATAGAGAAACAGCAATACCTAAACAAGAGAACATATCTGATTTGCTTAGCTGGTTTGACTGAGACACCCTCTGGTATATTTTTGCTTCAGAGAACAAGATCTCCAGCTCTGACCACCAAAGAGAGGAGGATCGTGGAGTAGATCCCGAATCAAAGAACTTACAGAATCCCATACCATTTGGCTACAAGATTACTCGATATCTAACCCAGACCAAAGTCGAAACGAGCTTGTGTGTTATTATTCGAATATAATGACTCGATTCAGCTCCCATCGTCTCATCGTCAACGGAGTCTCCAACGAAGATGTTGTTTCACTTTTCTTTTTAATCTTCCACCGACAACAAAAAAAAAAGGTTAAGACACTTTGGTCACTTGTGGGAAGATGATATAATTTGGGCCTTAAGGGCTTATAATATGGGATCTAAATATAATTATTTTTTTATAAACCTAAGTGGCCCTTTTCAATATGTGTAACCATATCTAATTGTATATGAAATCTAATGATGGAAATTTAATGACAACTATGGATTAAAAAAATGTAGCTGTACTTTATTATTTAAACAAATATATTATTAAAAATTATTTACGAATAAATTATAAAATAAATGTGTAAAATGACTATATTTTTATATATATATATATATATATATATATATATATATATATCTATCCAACATCATTAATTTAATAAAATTATCAAAACATCATGTTAATAATAACTAAAAAATTTAAACCAAAAACAAAATTACAAGAAAACACCAAATATCTTCACAAACAAAAAATTCAAATATCTAAAATCTCTTACTAATCATTTAAAAATATATATCTTTTTTTGGTAAACTTTTCTTCTTTTAAATTGAACCAGCCGGGCAAAATATATATCTTTTACCTAAATATGAATACAAAAAAAAATATAAATAAAAAAATTTCTATAAAAAATATACCCGCCCTTTGGAGGGCGGGTCAAAATCTAGTTTACATCTTAAAACCTTGTCGACACAACATGATTAGACTGTACTAATAAATAACCAGTTAATCACCAAAAGGGTATTAAAGTAATTAGCACCGGTTTAACTTTGGTCGGCCGAAATTAAAACGAGCGAAAAAAAGGAAAAAAAAAATATCTAAAAAAAATAAAATCTCTTTTAATTTTGTTTAAAGCAAAGCGTCTTCTTCCTTACACTCATCCTCCTCATTTTCCTCAAATTCATCTTCGGAAACTCACTATAAATTGTAAATATCTCACCTTCTGATCTCTTCTTCTTCAAATCTAAAGTAAAGTTATTATTTTTTTCTGTATAAAATTCTTTCTAGAACTCCTCGAATTCGCGAGGATTTCGTGTTAGTAATCAGTTTTTAGTTTCCATAGAAAAAAGGTGACTTTTGATTCCCGAGAAACCGACGTTCTTCAGGGATTTAATTTGATTTATTCAATTTGTTGAAACTTTTCTGATTCTAAAAAAAAAAAAAAACAGAACACAAAAAATGGTGATGGCGACGACTATATCAATCTACGCTAGTCCACCTAGCAGCGTGTGCTCCACGCCGCACCAGATCACTGATCTCGATCTAACCTCCAGAAATTTGTCGACCTCACCGCAGAAACTCGGAGGCCTCTCCTCTCTCTTCTCCGGCAAAGGAGACGACTTTTCGTCTCTACGTAGTGACGTGGATTATAAAGATCTAACCTTTACCACCTCCTCCTCCTTCTGTTACTCTCCGGCGAGATTGGTTGGTTCCTCTTATCATCGACGAGAGTCTCACCAGAGCCCTATCTCTGTGTTTCACGGTCCTGTCTCCTGTAGCTGCAGCCCTCCGATGAGAAGCTTCCACGGTGGCTCCCATCGTGTAGGAGCTAACGGATTGTTTAACAGATTCGTGAGGAAAGCCGTTGGTTCTTGCGTTGATTACGAGTTGGGATCAGATGAGTTAACGTTTCCCATGGAGGATGGATCAGATACGAGACAGCCTTACGCGAGAGACTTGCTGAGACGTGCTCAGTTAAGACACAAGATCTTTGAAGATGAGTCTGTGATCAAAGCTTTTTACGAAGCAGAGAAAGCTCATAGAGGACAGGTTAGATTAGAACAAAGACAAGCCTTGATTCTTGTTTTGTTTTTTTTTTGTTTGGTTTACTGAAGTTTTGGTTTTGTTGTGTGTGTGTGTTAAATTAGATGAGAGCAAGTGGGGATCCTTACTTGCAACATTGTGTTGAGACTGCTATGTTGTTGGCTAATATTGGAGCTAACTCAACTGTTGTTGTCGCTGGGCTTCTTCATGATACTATGGATGATTCGTTCATGAGTTATGATTATATTCTTAGAAACTTTGGTGCTGGAGTTGCTGATTTGGTCCAAGGGGTAAGAATCAACGAACATCTATTGTTGTGATGATACTTGTTAGATATATTGAGATCAATGTGTGTTTTTATTGCATAGTTCTAATGGTTTAAACTGATTTAATCTAAATTAGTCTAAATCCATTAAATTAAGTAATTAAATTAAGCAATAATGTTAGTACAATTCTACAAATTTCTCTTAATTTCATTTGTTTTGTATATTTTCTTGTAAGAATTCATCAAAATAATTTTATAATCTGCCTAGTTACCGTTTCACATTTCTTGAACATTGTTTTTTTTTTGTATGTATAGGTTTCAAAGCTTAGCCAACTAAGCAAACTCGCTAGAGAGAACAACACAGCGTGTAAAACAGTTGAAGCAGATAGATTACATACAATGTTTCTTGCAATGGCCGATGCAAGAGCTGTTCTCATCAAACTAGCTGATCGTCTACACAACATGATGACGCTTTACGCTTTGTCCCCAGTGAAGCAGCAGAGGTTTGCTAAAGAGACTCTTGAGATATTCGCACCTCTGGCTAACAGATTAGGAATCTCTAAGTGGAAAGTTCAGCTTGAGAATCTTTGTTTCAAGCATCTTTACCCACACCAGCATAACGAGATGTCAACCATGCTTGAGGATTCGTTTGATGAAGCTATGATTACTTCTGCGATAGAGAAACTGGAGCAAGCTCTCAAGAGAGAAGGCGTTTCTTACCATGTTCTATGTGGAAGGCACAAGAGTTTGTATAGTATTTACAGCAAAATGCTGAAGTAAGTTCTCCTTCCACCCTTTCGTAGATGAAAGATTGTAAGAGTGTGAAACCATAAGACTAATGTTTATGTTCTCTCTTCTCATTGTACCAGGAAAAAGCTAACAGTGGATGAGATTCACGACATTCATGGGTTGCGTTTGATAGTTAACAACGAAGGAGATTGTTACAAGGCCTTAGGAGTAGTTCATAGTTTATGGTCTGAAGTTCCTGGAAAGCTGAAGGATTACATTACTCATCCCAAGTTCAATGGGTAAGTTCACATACATCTGTTTTGTAGCTCTGTCTTGTTTAAAAGTTCAACGAATCTGACTTTTGTTATTTTTATTTGGTTTTTAGGTATCAATCTTTGCACACGGTAGTGATGGACAATGGAACGGTTCCACTTGAAGTCCAAATACGTACACAAGAGATGCATTTACAAGCTGAGTTTGGGTTTGCTGCTCACTGGAGGTACAAGGAAGGTGACTGCAAATACTCTTCGTTTGTGCTTCAGATGGTTGAATGGGCTCGGTGGGTTGTAACTTGGCACTGTGAAACAATGAGCAAAGACCGAACTTCCATTTGTTCTTCTGATTCCATCAAACCCCCTTGCAAGTTTCCCTCTCACTCTGAGGACTGCCCTGCTTCTTACAAGCCTAACAGTAGCCAGGATGGACCAGTCTATGTCATTGTAATCGAAAACGACAAGGTTTGTTTCTTTGTTGTAGTCAACAAATCTAAGTAGAAGAGTGTGTTGTTTGATTGTTAATACTGAACAAATGGGATCAATGCAGATGTCTGTGCAAGAGTTTCCAGCGAGTTCAACAGTCTCGGATCTGCTGAGCAGGGCGGGGACAGGGAGCTCGAGGTGGTCCATGTATGGGATACCAGCAAAGGAAGAGCTAAGGCCAAGGCTGAACCAGAAGCCTGTAAGCGACCTCAAGTGGAAGCTGAATATGGGTGATGTGGTGGAGCTGACTCCACCAATTCCTGATGAGTCTCTGCCTGAATACAGAGAAGAGATTCAACGAATGTATGATCAAGGGCTAGCGTTTTCTCGCCCTGGGACCATGGTTGGATGGGGAAGCTGATTAGTCCTGTATCATTTTTAATTAGTCCGTGCTTATGTAATGTAAATATAGCAATGATTAGTTTTGTTGTACATAACAATGGTTCTGTTGATTCAATCTAAAGCTGAAAGAAAAAGATTAATGAAAATTCCAAAATTTGCCAAAAACAAGACCAACCATAAGTGTAAGCTTGTGGCCATTACCACAAAGGTGATATTGAATCTTTGATGAGTTACTTGCCGTGACTTACAATCACATTAATTAAGAAACTGTTCTGCTCATCTCACTTTCTTGTGTAATCTCGAGGGATGTTCTATTATAAAGCTTACTGTCTTTCAATGATCACATGGACCCATTTTTAGTACACCAAATCATTTTTCTAAAAGAGAGTTAGATTGTGATTTTGATGCCATCCTAGATTGAAAATGGTTCATTATATACATCACAACCAAATATCATCATGTATTATTATGTTCTGCCTCCTGATTTACTTCTTTATGTGATGCATTCAATAATCTGTTTAAGCTTGTGCAAGGTAACAATAACTGAAATAGTAGTTTCTTCTTCTTCGTTTTTTTTTGTCATAAGTTTGTGCTAAATACTGCAAATAACATGAGGCGTTTTCTTGAGGGATGTTATGTTATAAGCTTACTGTCTTTCAATAATCACATGGACCCTTTTTAGGACCAAATCTCTTTCCATAGCTGTGTTCTTGACAAATTTTGTTTTGGGGTGGATAATGGTAAAGTAAAAGAGAGAGTTAGATTGTTATTTTTGATACATCACAACCAAATCATTTTATACAACACAACCAAACAACTAATTTTTCAGGTAACAGTTTACAGAAGGCTTTATTTTGGAAGCTTACAACAAACACTAAGACAAACTTACAAGACTCTTAGCTACTTCCACAATGAACAAAAGGAAACTTCTTCTCCTTTCCATAGTAAACCAGCAAAGGTATCTCCATCTTCCATCTTTATTTCCCAATTGTTGTCATACTTTCTAAGTAAAGATTTGGCTCCATCAATTGCATCCTCTCCAAATGCTTCTGCTGAGAAACCAGCTTTTCTCATCCTCTCATACCATATCTCTTTACCTTCATTAGTATCTCCAGAGCTCATCAACACCTTTGTTGCCTCTCCTTCCATCAGCTTCCTCTCTTCACTATTCTCTTCTTTGAATCCATAGCTTGTTGAATCTAAAAACTTCCATAGATAATCCAGTTTCCTTGAGAAAAGTGCTGCAAAGTCCACATTGCTACTTCCTTCTCCATTGTGTTCACAAAGAACCACTCCTTTTGGATTCAAACTTCTCAGTGCTTTCAAAGCCTCACTTCTCTCATCAAGGACGCTATTCTTCAGTTGATACAGCCTAAACTGAGCACAGACAATGAAGGTCTCATGAGGTGAGGTATCAATGAGTTGGGACTTGTCAATTACATTGATCTGAAGGCTGATGTTGAGGGACCTAGCAAAGCCAATGAGTTGAGAGGCATAGTTGTAAGATGGTGGACCAACAGAGAATGGTATGTCTGCGGTTAGATCAGATACAACGGTTATTCTAACACCAAGAGGAGGTCCTTCTGGTCTGCAGCAGAGAGCTTCAAGCAAAGTGGGCCATTGCATACCATGAGAAACACCAATATCAAGAATGTGAAGATCCTTTTTATCACCTGGCTCTTGTGATAGAATCTGTAAGATGGCTGAGTTTGCCATGTTATTAGGTAAAGCAAACCAAGGACTTACTTCATAGAACTTGAGCAAAGTCTTCTGAAACATCTTCACTTCTGCTGAAGCAAAAGTAACTGATGGTGACACAAAGGAACTTGAAATATGTTTCTTCAAAGCAGAAAGACCAAAATATGCAAGACGATGATTAGCATCACCAGAAGAAGAGGCCAGTTCAGAGAGAACACAAATGTAATGTTGAACTCTTGATGAGTTCCTTGCCGTGATAGCCAAGGCACAAGGGTTAAGAAGTTGTTCTGCCCATCTCTCTTCCTTGTTAACATCTTTGCGGCTCACCTCACTAGACTTGTCTGCTTTTTTCTTGCTCCTTGCTGATCTTTTCACTACTTGGCCATCGATAGGCTCATCACGGTTCCTTTTCTTGGACTGATCGTTTGGTATCTGAACCACTGGTGGAGGAACTGAATCAATTTCTGGAACTCCGGTTACCACTTCAAGGTTACTTGCTTCACAAGCCATATAAGCATTAAGATCTTCTTGACTATAGCTATGAAGAACATCACATCCTGGATCTTGAGTTTGAGTCTGCTGATCCCATTCCCACGTTTGAGACCAGTCAAACTCGTTGAGCAAATCAGAATCATTGAATCCAGGTAATGGTGTTAAGGAGATAGAATCATCAAACCAGCTTAGGACATTGTCTAGAGTTTGGCTTGGTGGTTCTGTTTCTTCCAACGACATTGAGTAGATGATGAAAAAGGTATTGGTTGTGACTTGTGAGTAGGTAGGTTAAGGTTTAAGATAAACAATAAAAAGATGAGGTTCGAGTAAACATATGAATTGCGTGTGGTCTTATATATAGGTGGTGTGTCGGGGACTATATTAACTACCTTTACAAAATGGTTATAACTTATAAGACGTGAAAAAACACAAGTTTGATTTGTATTTCTTAAGTTAATTAGTCTCTCCACTAATTGCAGTTTGGGACCATTGTTGTAGGTTGTACTATACAAATTATGTTTTATATCAGACATTATATAAGGGTGTTTTATAGAATATTTGAGAGATAATTAGAGTATCAATCTGTACTATGATGTTGTCATTAGTATTAATAATAACAAGGTCTAGATTGTGGGGACATATTGTGACATAGACATAGAATCTGGTTTTATCTTCTAACTGTTGGTTCTCGAGGACAATATTTATTAAAAAAAAACTGTATTGCTAAAAGCATAACATTGGCTCGTAAATGTTTAGAACTTTATAATATGTAGATGAATACTCCCTCTGTTTTGCCCAAAAAAGGAATTCTCCCTCTGTTTTTTAAGTGTCCATAGATTAAGAAAATGATTGAAATGTACTTAATTACTAGGATAAGACCCGCGCCTTGCGCGGGATGAAGCTATTATTTTTATTATGTTTTTAAAAATGAAACAATAGTTCGGTTTCATTCGGATTAGAGGTGTTCAATCCAGATATCGGGTTTCGGTTCGGCTCGATTTTTTGGTATTTCGATCATTAAAATATAACTACTATTCTAAATTTATATGTACTTCGGTTTGATTTGGTTTATATACCATCGGTTTTCAGTTTATTCAATTTTATACCAAAAAACATAATTATTTAGTTTGAGATCATATTATATATTATACAAATATATAATATGATCATATTTAGAGTCATATTGTCACAGAGTTATTTATTAAAATTTTTTTATATATTTAAATAAAAGAATAAAAAAATGAAAAAGGCTTCTATCATCTAATAAAATGATCAAATCTAGAATTAATATCAAAATACTAAATTTTGAAAATAAAAATAAAAAACAAAACAGAAGCATGAAAGAAAAGTTTTTATATTCTTCCATATTTAGTGTTCATCAAACCAATATGTCTTCGATTGAACACAACTCTATTTGTTTAAAGATAAAAAAAAAAGTTGTAAAGAATTTCAACTAATTATTGTCCATCAAATTTATAATCTTTACTTCAATTTAGTTACTGTTAAAAAAGCAAAAGATCAAAATAAGAAGTCTTAGTTGTAATAAATTGTTAGCTATTTACAAATTATAATTATAGTTCAACTCATGTAACAGATAGATATTCATGCGTCGTTATAAATATATACA